ATGCAGCATATCAGAAAGGTCGTATAAGACTGACTTTTAAAAGGTGTTTCGCCTGCCGTTTTGTCTGCTGACTTGTCAAATAATTCATTCATGGTTTTCACTGACCGGTATCAGTATGTTGTTACTTCGGCATCATTTTTTAAACGTGTATTACAATTAAATCAATCAGTAAAATATGTTCATTTTGATGTAGTTGTAGCCCCCTTGCCAGCGATTCTCTCACTAGTTTAGCATATTCAGCCCAGTTGTTGGCCCGGAAAGAACCTGGATTTTGGAGAGCCAGAAAAACTGTGAAACAGTACCCGTTAGCCGGTACTACCCCTAGTGGAAACGCAACCAAAATGGACCGGGTTTGGCACGGCACGCTTAAACCGCGCTGTAGTGGAAATGCGCCATAACAGGGCTGCAAAAGAGGGGTATGAGCAGTATGAGGAATGGCTACAATGGGTGATCTTTTTGGTATTTCAAGCAAAAAACTTCACAGACATGTTTTGTATAGGTATGGCCCTACAATATATTTTCACAATATAGCATAGGTCCACTTTAAATAACATCCAAAGAAATAAAGACTTAACTGCAGGCCACACAATATCATTAACACTAGGAGAGCAAAGAGCACTGATTATATTAAACATAATATCTCACAGATGATCTGTTCTGAATTAAGCGGACAATACTGCACTGGAAGAATACAATAAAAGAGATTGTTTATCATATGCATTTCAATTACAGTCATCTAAAAACACAAGTATGTATAATACCCATTTGCCAGTGTTCAATTTGGGAATTCAAAAGTCAGTACAGTTCATGCAGAACTATATAATTATTTCCAGGAAGCATAAGGAATGATTGTGTAGTTTGTCTGTAGAATGACTTAGATTGTTCACATTGTTAGAAACTGTGTGAACAAAGCCATTTTGTTATCTTTGGTGAAACCTTGCACATTCATCTCTGTTGACTCTTCATTATGTCTCTTAATACACAATTACCATTATAATGCTATCACCTCATAATTGTGTCATTAAAGTACAATGGGTAGCTGGAGTCAAACAGTCTCAGTGGTCAAAACAAGCTCTTGGACTATGCTCTCTTCTGAAGTTTGTCAAGTTCAATACAGAGATTCCTTTGAAACCTATTTGTTAACATTTCTCTCACTAACAATAGCATGCTAGTCCTTCAGGTAGATGTTTAGTTATGTTTATGGATCACTAAAACACTGACTCAGTGGTGGAGATGGAGACCATGAATAACTGTACATAACTGCATGGCAACAGGCAGAAAGATAGACACTGCCAATTCTCGAGACAAATTGGAAACATGGCTTAAAATTGAGATTTTTGATAAAGCTACAGTGTTTGAGAAGTGAGCTCCACATAAGCTTTAAACTAACATTACAATAGAAAATGCAAACCACAGTCATTTGTCCTCAAGTGTCAACAGTGTCAAATGTCTGCAGTGATCAATGTCATGGGTGTAGTGCTTCATGTACCACTGGCGCTGTGTACATTTGGATATATTTTTCCTTGAACTATAACTCTACCATTTGAAGTAATAGCCGTCATTATAGAGCAGAATGCTACAACCCTGAGTGCAGTTACAGGCGGACACCCCGCGCTGAACACTGACAGCCTAATGTAGGTGGCTCTGTGGAAATTATGCGAGAAAGGTTGAAGTCTTTTGTTGGAAATATGTTCTTGTTCGCCCCTGTAGCTTTCCTCAGGTATCTAATCAGAGGATAAAAGAAAAAAACTTCTAAATGCATGCCCACTGACAAAAATTCCATACAGCCGTCTGGTTCTATCGAAAAGCATTTGAATAGTAGAATAAGTACATTGATACATTCGCACTGAAATTATAAAGTAGCTTTTGTAGCTTTATTCTTTCATCATAAGTATGTAAGGGGACCTTTATATTACTAACACACATAAGACGTCGCACTTCAGCATCGAAAGCTTTTGAGCTTTCTTCGATGTTCCATCATTCAGGCATTTTGGGCAATAAGTATAAATATTTGTCATTTTGAATGAATACTGTTAGTGTCACCTAATCACTATCTGATTGTTGGTTTATTCAAAAGGGCCAGACATTACAAAATAATACAATGCAGTAAATGCACTAGTTAGCCAAAAGCATATATATTTTGTCTGTAGTCCCTAGACACAACTTACAAATTATTAATGTAAAGTCAAACGGTATTGCAATATGATAAAATATATAAGGATGCAAAGCAATTTTAAAACAGGGACTTTAAGATAATGTACCGTACAGGACAATATAATCTGGTTCTAACTCCAATAGAAGTACATTTACTTCTGAATGGAATATTTACACTGCACAGGATCTATGGAACAATAAAACAAAGCCACAAGGAAAGACATCTTCGCACCATTTAAAGACTTACTTTCCAATCTGAAACACTGGGGGGCACTGTCACATCTCTAGTCACCAAGAAGACATCTGTGATCTTTGTATAACACTTTGAATAAAAAGACGCTGTGATTGAACAATGTAAAACATGTCTACAGCAGAACCAGGAGCCTCATTTAGGATGTGCTTTGTTCCAATCACACTTCCGTCCAATCAGCTGTCTTTGTGCGGCCTCAGACACTCATGAAAGACTGATGGTTCAACAAACAAAGCTTTCACAAACACTATGCATGGTTTACCATCTTTACAATTGTCTCAAATTATTTGTCCCATCTCAGTTTGCCACAGTTCTCCATTGGGACATTTGGCAGCGTGTGCTTTGTGGCTGTAGGGTCAAGTGTCCACTAAGTCACAAAACATGAAAAACACCCAATTTGGTCATAAACAAAAAACGTGATGAAGTGTAACATTTGAAGATGACATCACGTCAATGTCATTTCCCAACATTTGCATGTTTTATACAATTTTGGCATGTTTTTATAGCTACTGGCATAATGGCAATTACATTGTGGGTGATCATTAGTGTCATTCAGGCCTCAGCTCCAGGACGGCTTCAGCATCTGTTTAATCTCGCTCTGTTTAAAGGGATGGAAAAGCAGTCAAGAAATCCGCCAATGTTACCAGTTTCTCTTTCTACTATTCTTTAATACTGACCCTGAGGTCTCTCCACGGGTGTTTAAAACATATGATTTGCCAGAACGACCCTTTTTCCCTTCCTGCACTGAACCTTTTTCATGTGAAGGTGATCTAATGCTAAAATATGCCCTTCCAAAATCTGATGGACATTTCCCAGATCTAGATACATGTGGGCAGTTTCCACTTATGCTTCCAGGAAGGGTGATTAAAGCTTAATGGGGCTCCTGATGTGACAGCAAACAGAATTAGGAAATCTCCATCTTTAAAGAGACCTATCATTAATTTGGGGCCTGGAGATTCCAAAGCAACATCTGAGCGACACAATGACATGGATCTCCTTGAAAAATCAGCTACAACCCTGGCAAATGAGCGAGTGAATCCCCCATTAGGCGATACATGACTTTGAGAAGAGCCCAATGTCATGAGCACATTGTGTGAAAGAATAGTAATTCTAATCACAGTATGTGAGGCTCTTCATCAGTAATTATGGCAAACTCATCAAAAGGCAAGTCCCCCTCTTGTTATTCAGCTGCATTATTCAGATGTATTGTTTCGTAAACAAAACTGTTTCCCAATAGCTACCAAGGCTAAAAGAGTCACCATTGTAAAAGATGCTCATTCAGCACCTTTAACTTTAAATTATATCAAAAACATCTTTATATTTTTCGTCTTTGTAAAAAAATGTCTAAAAAGAAGCTGCACCATGATAAGGTTCAAATTGGATGTGATGCATTCAGTACTCACGTTAAGGTAGAACTTGAAATGTGTTCAATTAAGTACTGTGAGATAAACCAGCAAATAATCTCCGCTATGCTCACTAGCTGGTGTCTAAGTCTAATAGTCAGAAACGTGCTGCTTGTCAGGTAGTGTACGTTGGATTTAACAGGCCTTTTCTGCTGAAAACGGCTGCCTTCATGTGGCTTAAAACCAAACCAAAACAAACTAAACCACAACAATGACCTGAAAGACACTAAAACGCTTTATATAATGGAATCCAGATGTGGGTTATAATTCTCATTACAAGCCATCCCTTTTCGATTCATGTAGTCTTGTGTTGATTGATTGTAGCTGGAGAAAGGCTGATAAATATTTAACAATCAAAACATTAATTGAATTCTGTACAACAGTCAGCACTAAAGGCCAAACCTGGGTCAAACCACACAGTCATTTACTGTGTCCATCAATAGATTTTAAGCATTGCAGAGAGTTAATGACAGAGACGGAAACTGTATCCTGATGTCAGCAGTGAGGCAGATTTGTGTTTGCCTCAAGCGATGATGCTCTGTAAGGACATGGATCAGCTGTTGTTCTCCCTTAAGTAGCTATAGTTGTTGTTGTTGTATAGGAAATCACAGTTTATGTAACAGAAGTGTGGTGTTTCACCAGAGTGGTCGTCCCTCGTAAAACTGGCTTAAATAATAAATACAGAGCCATAGGGGGTCCTGACCTGGACATTTAAATTATTTATTACCACTACAGAGCAGTGAAGTACTGAGGATTACACACACAAACACACCCTCACACATCTGTAACCATTTACTCTTTTAGTCAAACTCATCACCAGCTCTGAAAAAACACCATTCACAAAGCATGCGTGTGTGTCTGAGTGTGTGTGTGTGTGTGTGCGCACGCACGCGTGTGTATTGACTATATGGCACAGCATTCTTCTGCTTTCCGTCTACTTCTCTCCATCTCTCTTTCTCAAACAAACTATTGATTTGTATTTCTGTCTGCCCCATCTTTCTTTAAGTCCTTCACTCCCTAAACAACACCCATCACCCTTCCTCCCCCTCCTTCTACCTCCTCTCTCTAACTCTGGTATTTCCCAGCGAAAGCCCCCTCCTCACCTCCCCTCTTTTCTACCCCCTCCTCTCCTCAGATGGATTCTTCAGTCAGCCGAGTGGAACTGGTGCGGCTGCTGGAGAGATAGGCAGAGAGGCAGAGAGGCTGTGCTGAACAGACGCTGGGTCAGAGCGCTCAGTTGCTTCAGACAATCACAGGGGAGCGAGAGAAAGACACAGGAAAAGAGCAAGACCACATAGAAAGATAGATTTAAAAGAGAGAAAGGGGAGGGAGACAGGGGAGGGAGGTAAATATGTGACAGGATGCGGTTTCCCTGAGCTTGCAGAACATCGGTACACAGGCATACTTTGGGCATGACCTAAACACACCAAGCTTACAAGTGTGTTTTAGCTCTGTTTGCTGGCGAGGGGGAAGAAGAAGCAAACCGCTGGAACTGCTGCTGCTGTGCCTGTAGACGCTCTGGTTTGTCTGCTGTGTGCCGGAGGATTGTGTTTCCTTTAAGCCATTCAGCTCCACAGCAGTCAGCTCATCTGACAGGATCTGAACCATTCCTCCCTCCAAGTAGAATGCGTTTCTCTGCTGGAAGCTCTGCTCAAGTTGCTGCCTTCATTTCCAAGCAGTGAACTTTTCAACCAGATTTGTGAAACAGGTAAGTTTGCTTCCTGTTTGTCAGAGTCTACAACATGTGTATGAATTTGAACTTGGGGACAGATGTTTGACTGAACGCTCACCTGATTCTCTGGACAGCAGCCACTGTAAACTTGTGCTGCATGTTGGCAATTGTTTACCGCAGAGAGTTGATTCATTAGAAGATGCCGCAAGCCACAAGTTTGGCTTCTGAGCTGCGAGTTAGACTACAAGCCCTTAATCCACTGCTACGTCTCTCACACACACACACACACACACACACACACACACACACACACACACACACACACACACACACACACACACACACACACACACACACACACACACACACACACACACACACACACACACACACAACACACACACACACACACACACACACACACACACACACACACACACACACACACACACAGATACACAGATAAACACACATCCAGAAACGTTACAAAAGGTTACCTAAAGGGCAAACAGCATATGGGCAGCAACACAAACACTGATACATGATTTGCACAAACTACCGCACACACGAAGAAAAGCATAACATTTACAAAAAAAGAAACACAACACATGTTTTTGGCTCACAAACATGTAAGACAAAAAGGCACCAACAGATGTAAAACCCACCAACAAAACATGCATTACATTTCCTTTTCATTTCATATACAAAATGCAAATAAAAACACAGCCACACAGTTAAAGTGTATAAGTCACTGGCAAAAGCCCACTGTTAACAAATTGCTAAGGGGAAAAGAGCCTTGTGCTGTATGTCAAGCATATCAAAGGGTAAATGTTTGAATATGTGTAACATGGAATTAACACATGCATGCATAACCACATGTGAGCTTGCATACATGCTGCATTTTTGCATGACATGACCGCGCACACACACACACACACACACACACACACACACACACACACACACACACACACACACACACACACACACACACACACACACACAACGAACACACACATGAAAACCCTTAACCCCAAATGGCTGCATCCTACACTGGCTGCTGGAAATGTGGAAGCGATTGTGGTTTGGCCTCGCTACGCTCCAAAGTCACGTCGAAAAGGGAATCATAACACAGGGCAAAGGGTGAAGAAACCTTAAAGGGCAAATTCACCCAGATTACACAAAAAGCCATTTTCTCAATTACCTCAAGTCCTATGTTGCCTTTGAGATAATTTGGGTTTTATTTGCTCTGGTTTGAGATATTGTTATTGGAGATATATACAGGCAACCAAATTCAATAGGGTTTAATGGAATGTTACTTCCATCAGTCACCCTCAGAAAAGGCCTGCTAGGCATAGTGACCAACATCCATTTATAATAAGTTATTAACCTTTACAACAGTAGTCCTAGTGTGCTAAAAGCTTTTACGTTATGGTTTATTAACAATGAGAAGGGAAAATTACTTGATAATGTTTGGTGGGAAGCTTGTGTCCCTCTATTTAGGATGTACTAGCTAGCATTTACAGAGATATAGATACAGTATGTTGGGGGGGTCTACAACAGACCTGAAGCAACGGAGGGAAAACTATCTTTACTTTTAGTCTCTAGGATGGTTTGAGCTCTAAAATCACTGCTACCTTCATTCCCCATAATGCAACTCAATGGCACTTGGGTCTTTCTGACTCATCGACACCCATTCATTCAAGCCACAGACATCCGGTTTCTTAACAATTTTTTTTTCAGGCTGAGTAATCTCTATGACGATTAAACTAAACTTTTTTCTACTCCTTTACTGGAGATTCTTAATAATAAAAACACATGACCCCAAAACGTACAGCTAATCATGAATACAGTAAGCAGTGCTTTATCTTTTTCAGAATGATATCTCCAAAAATGTATGTGAACAGCCTGACTCATTTTCTATCCGATTTCCTTTTTTTTCGGTTTATCTTTTTTCCGAGCCTGTGTTGATTTTCCTTGGCTCCAGTCTTTTAGCAAACATGTATTTTAATCAACTTATGTTTGCTATCTGATCTGGGCCCAGAGAATCCCCCTGTGAGGTGTGAAATTTGATTAAGGTAATTGGCAAGAGTCGGATGGTGTAAACCATAATGTGTACTCTTCACTGAGTATGTATGTGCCCAAAGACAGACACACAAAATACCAAAACATTTTAGGGTGCATCTAATTGAAAGGTAGTTATTTTTAAACCATCTTAATCTCATTCTACTCTCATTTGGTTCAGCGCCTGTTGGATGCCGGAAAAACATTTCCATATGCTTCACATTTGGGACATGATGAAATATAAACAAACAGGAGGATTTGATTCTAAAATAACTTGCCTTAAGGGGACTTAAGTTAAGGAGACTTTTCCTGTGTACAAAAAGTACAAACATTAGGTTATGACAATATATATTTATTACGTTGAAAGGGATATCTGTATTCAAGAGATGTACAGGGCTTAACTCCAAGTTCTTTATATTGTTGGATGCATTTTAAATAAAACTGGCATAATTTCATTTTGATTCGGCTTAATTATTGGCAGTAATATCAACTGTGGGCAGTAAATATGGCTGAATGAGACACTGTAGATAATGGTGTGAGTTTTGCAGTTCTCACGACAGGATGTCACCATGAGTCCAGCCTCCGCTGAAAGTCTCACATCTTTTCCCTATATAATTCTCAGTTAAAGGCGCAAAGTTTATTTCCCCTCACTCCCGTGCTAGGTGACAGTGATCATGCTTTCAAAAATACTTACTAATTCAATCCTCTTGCAATGCCCTACAACTGAGACGGCATATTAGGATAAATCTTCCTGGCAAGACAGAAAACAAAAGGGCCAATATTCAGCCGTTTGTGTAGTAGCTTAGCAAAGAAAAGAAAAAAAACATCCCTCTTGGTATTTCTATAAGGCAAATTGACTCCTGTTGTAATGGGTGGTCAAGAAAATTGCAGCAGTATTGATTTGGTAATGTTCAACACGGACATATCGATAGGCTGTCTGAAAACCTAAGAACTTGGCTTCGGCTGGCTTTAATAAAAAATGACCAGCCTGGAGCAAGTTCACAGAAAGCAATGAGTCACTCTCAGAAACTCTCTTGATAACCCTCAGTGTTTTAAAAGAAAAATTACAAAAAGAGCAATCAAAGGATTTCTTTCTTGCTTTCCTACAATGTTTTTCTTTGTGTTTCTTTGGCTGCAGCTTGAAAACATCCAACACCATCTTTGTGAAGGTCGGAGTTGAGATCATGGTTTGCTTCTCACTTGCGAGAACTGTACAAATCCTAGCTTGGATAGATTTTGCATAACAAATCAGACTGTTGACAGTCAAAGACATGCAGAGAGGAGAGGAGGTAAACAGGATGACACGAATGTTTGCTCCTGCACACGAAGGAGGAGAAAAGGGAAGCAAGTCCTGGTGATTAGGAGGGGTGTGAGCTTATACTGTAGTGAACAGAAAGGAGGAAACTGACAATGAAAGAGGGAGACGTCGAGAAAGATTGGTGCCTATTATTCTCCCCAGAAAGGAATAGTCATAGAGGGGTTGGTTCCCATGGCAATAGCTCTTTGGATGTGTGTGTCTATGTGTGTGTAGGGACTGCACCCGGGCCTTGAGACTACATGGAGACGAGGTTGGCCGAGGTCATAGCGAACCGGAGCCACCCGGAGCCTTGAAACGGCGGAGAATCTCAGACAGACATTATTGTTTACTCGCCTGTTCTCTCTGCCTCACACATCACAATCTCATCTTCCATTTTTTTCCGCCTGTATGCTTTGCACCTATGTATCGTCCTTGGTCATTCAAAGCAACAACAAAAAAAATCAGCGAGTTGAAAAAGCAATTCCACCTTTGGCTCCCATGACCTCCGTGTTGGCAGCATGCATGATGGTTTAAATGTGCGGATGTCTCCCAAAACAAATTTTAAGCTTTTCTGTGGCATCTTCAATGTTTCAGGGGATCTCACATAATAATGTATTCACTCATTAATTAAAGCTTTGTGTCATAAATGTTTCTCCAGAAAATTATTAATTGAAAATATTGTGTGCAATGATGTAAAAACCTAACTTAAGAACTTTAAAAAATACTTGCTTAGTGCATAGCATTATAGTGGTGCACTTACTCTTTATAAGTTACAGAAATCTTTAAAACAATGATGCTACAGTCTCCCATGCTTGTTTATTACCTGACCTTCTATTGGGGGTGTATTGTTCTCAAATGGAGACTTAAAGGAATACTCTAAGATTAGATATACTTTATTGATCCCAAAAGGGGAAATGTGTTCACCACAGCAGCACGTTAAAACAAGGCATTGCACATAATGTGAATAAAAAAAGAGCAGAAAATAAAAATAAAATGTTCCCCATTCATTCTCTGCATATTATAAGGAAAAAGGGTACCACCTTACAATAAGACTACCCTTATAAAGGATTCATAAAGGGTTTATAATTAGGTTATTAATTAGGTTGTAAACACTTTATTAACCATTAAGAACCTTTTATAAACCAGTTATAACATAGTTTTCATACATCAACACAGGCTCACTATTTGGCAAGATGACTAAGCCTTATATTGGCTACCTAGCTTACTTCCTCTTCTTCATCAGCCAGCATCCTTGGTATTTGTTGTTCACTGAGTTTATTCCCCCCATCCATCTTGATGTTTCTTGGCATCTCTTTATGACCATTTATTTATGAGTTACTAACATTTATAACTGCCAAAAGGGAGCCTTGTAAAGTGTAAAACACATTCCCATTTATTAATGAGTTACTACCATTTCTAATAATAAGGCTTAGCAGTATAGATAAATGTGGGCTCACTATTTGGCAAGCAACCGGTCACAGTTGCCCTGTTTATCTCATGTCTTATAAAAGCTTATTAATGATTTATAAAGTGTTCACAACCTAATTAATAAATGAATTACAAACTATTCATAAACCCTTTATAAGGGTAGTTTTATTGTAAAGTGGTACCGGAAAAAGTGTTCCCCGTAGTGGAAGACTGATAGACATAGTCAGCACTCATTCATACATGCTGAAGATTTCAACAGTGACCCAGTTTCATTGGGAAAATCTGCCTAAAACGCATTGTCATTATGTGTTTGAGGGGGAACACATTCTCTCCTGAATTATATAACTATATTAAATAGGCTTTTAAGGGCATTGTATCTTAACAACAGTTTGAATAAAAAGCAATTGTAAAGGACACACATAATACAATTTATATACCTACACCCTGTAGGTCCCTCTCTTTAAGACTGGGTTATCACTAAAGGTTACAGCATTAACATCCTGCCTAAGTGCCCTTTGTTTCTCGCTCTCTCTTGGGTCCCTCTTTTTTCCATCCTCTCTGTCCTGTTAGACAAGGATTCAAGTTGGTAAGGACTGAGGGGAGGACAAAGGGAACAGTGGGGGATTTCCAATATTTCAGAGTGTTAGCAAAGGATATTTGGAACAGTCATCACGCTACTGTATATGTCGGCTGTGTCTCCAGTGACCTTTCCTCAAAATAGGTGGTTTTTGCTTATTACAGGAAACAACTCATGTGAGCATTTGTTGATCTGTATTAAGCTGCACGTGATGAGGTTGATAAGCATGTTGATGGCTATGTGTATCACCAGTGCAGATATTGCCCCCAATAGACAATAAAGTAAAAATACTTGTCTGTGTGTTTTGCGTGTATCCTTGTCATACTTAGTAGCTATCAAATGAAAAGTTAGTGAAACGTAGCATCCATATATCTGTACTTTTTATACATAATATAATATATGACATACATGATCAATTATTTTTGGGTGAGCTGGTTGAAGAAGAAAAAGTTCAGTGAAGTGAAAGGTCCATATAGTGATAGATGATGAATCACTTAGTAACTCAAAGTCCATTTGACGTTTTTAAACAGTTCTCACTTGGTTTATAAAAAAGCCTGACGGAACAAAGAAGGTCCCTTCAGTCTAAATTAAACGTAGCTTTGAGAGCCATCGACTTTATTCCTCAAAATAAACTATAGAGTGATATTGAACCAGCAGTATCCACCACCAAGTGCAGCCTTGCTAGCACACCACTTTACATGTCAGATTAAAAAGATCAAAAGTCAGAAAAAGGAAAAGAGGACGAGGGAGATAAAGTGTGAGAGAGGAAGAGAACAGACTTAAAAGGGAGACTACATGGAGAAGAACACAAGAACACAGTGTCCTAATTAATGTCCTCCTCCATTAATCCACTCTGAAGCTTCCCATGATGCTGGGTTTGATCTCAGCAATGTTGCTATCAAAGCCTTTTAACATGGCCTTGTAATATGGGGGGGATCTCAGTCAGACAGCATTACAATCATTCAGTGCAGTTGCTCCTTGTTGTTGATGCTGTAATGTATGTGCAAACATCGGGTGGGGTTTTGTAAATGATCTTCTTCATAAATAGTACATTTTCTCATTTGAAAAATTGAATCAAATGACTACATGACGTGAAGGTTGTCGATTGTAGTGTAGTCTGTAGAACTACATGGCTTAAAAAAACCCACTGTGAGCCAAAACTAGGGGCTTAAAACATTAACACCACTTTCATTAAGTCGTTTTCGGCAGCAGCTGGGGACTGTTTCCAGTAAAAAAGCTCAGATAAACCCACTACACGCTAACTTACTTGCACAAAACCAAGTCCCTCAGGAGCTGATGGAGACCAAAACAGAGCTAAAAGGTAGAGTCAGGCTTACATTTGTTAGGTGGCGTCGCGAGTAAAACAGCTCCAGATTATTTGAAATGTTGTTCAATGTCCTTTAGAGATGTAAATGACATACCAAGTTTGCAAAAGCAACTTTTTAAGGTAAAAATATGGCCTGTTTTTGTGATTTGCAGCTTTTCTGCCCGTGATTGGTCAAAAATCCATTGTTCAAGCTTTGATGTGTTACATTTCCTGAAAAGCTAACAGATATTGACCTCAGTGATGAAAAAGCAAAGAAATCTGATCCTTGAACGGACAAATTGGTGTTGAGTGACAGATAGATATGGAATGGAAAGACAAGCCCCTCCCTTCTGTTGCTGTTCACATTCAGCAAAAAACAAAGTGCTGTGGGGTGTTTTGGTTACAAAGGCCAAAGCTAAGTGCATCCCGGCTACAACAAAGCATTTGAACGTCAATCTCGGCTCAAAAGGAGAGAATCCTATCGAATAAAACCTCTTATCAAATAAAAAAACTCAAAATACCATTAGCTAGAGATAAAAGATAGAACAAAACGTTTGGGAGATCGTTGCTAATTCAGCAGAAGGGAAATCAATGGTTCTCTTCCTGTTTTTGTTTTTTTCTGGAGCTACCCAGAGTCTGTCTACCCTGTTAATGATCCCTGACTCCATGCCTGTCAATCTCCAAAAGAAAAGGGTGTAGAGGAGGTGAGGCAGGGCGTTGTGGGGGCTTCCGCTGCCCAGAGCTCCTTCCTCAAAGGGGAGGTGCTGAGGCAAGAAACAGTGACTCAAAAAATCATAAACACCTCACATTTCCTCTGTCAGTTTAGGTCTAAAAATACTCCGGTTCGCCTTCGCCTCACATCTCCTCCTTCCTGGTCTCAAGGAGCTATGCAAATACCCCCCATTTTTTTTCCTCATCCAGTTTTTTTTCTTTCCATACCCCCTCCCTCGTAGCCCCTGAATGCTATTGTTCTGACTACCTCCTCTCTCGCTCTTGCAGATTACATGACAGAGCCTCGTCTCCCCTTGTGTTGTTGCTACTCTCTCCAGGGTAAGGGGAGGAATGATAAAAGCTAAAATAGATTGTAGGCAAGAGTGGGAAACCAAGACTTCAAGCTTTTTTCTTGCCCTGTTTTCTTTGATGGTAGAGCCATTTGTGATGCTGCGCGATGAACCGCAGCACAGCGCGCAACATGTCCCGAGTGACAATTTAAGGGGGTACTGAAAAGCTTTTAGGGACTTTGAATATGCCAGCTTCTGCAGATTGCGTTTTTTTGCTCAAGTAAGACATCAGTCATGCTCGGCACATGCAAAGAGGCAAAGACACAACCCGTCAGCACATCTCAGACATGTAGAAACCGTTTAGCAGGCTTCAGAAGTTTCAGGTAGAGAGCCTTGCAGCACACAGGACTCACAGTGTGTTCTGGTATTAATCACAAGTCCATCAGCCCCATGGTCCATCTCAGGGAGCTGTTCTGAGGACTATAGAGATATGATTGTGATTCACGTTGAGATTCATAAAGCCCAACAAAGACATTCATGTAAGTGCCACTGGAAACACCGGCTTTCATGACAACCGTAATAAATCTCCTGCCTCATCTTTCTCTCTCCTTTCTCCCTCAGCGTGTGTTGATCACCCCTTTTCTATTCAACTGACTCTAATTGCGCGCTCCATTTTTTTTCTACAGACTCTACTTGCCATGCATTACCCACTGCCCCCCCCC